ATGAGCGCTTAGCTATTTGTAATTGAGCTAGTCCATTTCATAATCTCATGTTCCAACTCAATATGGGCTACTAGACCGTTTCTCATTTGGCTAAACTACTCATGTTTAGGGTGTTCTGTTTCACGAAGGAAAACTAGACTGTCTATGATTTGGCCATGCCATTCCTTTATTAGCTATGCTATCCTGCAGCTGATCCTTACACCATCTTTGTATTTGCTGATCTATTTGACATCCTTGTATTTTTGGTGGTGACGGCCGCCCATATATTTCCGTGACTTGCAAAGACTGATCACTCGTACCAGTGATTGATGCGTTAGCCAGTAGGCCACACAGATGAATCACCCAGTAATTTGGAGAGACGAATATACTGACCGATAACTTTAAGCCACCATGTACACATTTGGGTACAGTGTTTTCTTAGGCAGAGAATGCAGGAAAACGTGTGAACGTTTGCGGTGTTATTTATTTTTTATTTGTTTATTTAATTTCTATCCTGAACTAGAATTAAGCTCAACTTACTGTACTGTAGTGAGCCTAAGTGCATCGAAGTATACCAAGAATGCGCGCCTGTAGACAATTTTCTTGGACTTAAAACATTTTCATTATTCCTAATACATGCAAGATTTCCATGTTCAGTGACTGTAATCCGAAGTAGAGGATAAAGCACCGAGTAAAAGAGCAAACGCCGACTCTTCTTATTCTCTCCCTTAGCAACACAGCTTACTTCTTACTTTTAGGATGCTCCTAAAATTCATGGGTAAGAGAGAATTGATAAAAAGGCAAAATCAAGAATGTAATTGGACCTAATGGACCTAATGGAATACTTAAAGATAAGGTGAGATGGGACAGGGATCATCTCAATGTTTCGTAATGTCGTAGACACAAGGATATTAAGGACCTTAAGCAAACCACGACAGCGACAACAACGAGGACGTGGCCGAGCTATCTATGACTGGAGGAAAAATAGCTGAGCGCGTGTGTTTTTAAAGTTTGGACATTTCTTCGCCGTCGTTTCAACAACTTCAAAATAACCAAAACTTGTGTGGTTTGAGAAAGAAAACCCTCATGGAAAATTATTTAAGTTTTCATTTGGAACTCAATATAGGTGAGGTTGAGCCGTGGCACTGTAAGAGACACTAAAAACATTCGGCCAATAACAAAATTTTAAGCAAAAATTTAAAACTAATTATTTAATCGACGTCTTCTTCGCCGAACAACGATCTATGAGTAACCAATCTTGTGTCGCGAATTTTTCTCACGTGGACATCCCATGCTGTTTGTATTCGTTTTCTACCACACCACTCACTAAACACGCGAGGTACATCTCACCCTTTTCCCCGGAAACCACCCAACATGAGTTCATAACATAAGCAAGCTCATATCTTTTCTTGGTGTGGTCCAGCTTTCCAAAGTACAACTTTAAATTTTCATTGTCAAATGTCATTACCCACCAGACTCGAATCTTTGTTACCCATGGCATCAACTTTTTACCTCAAGTGGACCACATCATCGTTCTTCAGGACGGTTTTGTCTCAGAGGTATGTAAAATTTCCATCAGGCTGTATAAATTATATTAAAGTGGATTCTTTTGATAAAGATTTTCTTTCTGTCCCTTTTGTTTGGCTTTTTTTAGGAAGGCATATACTCTGAACTTCTGGAAAACTCAAGTGCCTTTGCCGATTTCTTACATGCTTACAGATCAGAGGAGAACTGTGGTCTATCAAAATACAATTTACAAATATTTTACCAAAAATTTTCTACTTCGTAAATTGTTGCACGCTACTAACGCAACACTCATTGTAGTCATGCAAAACTGTGTGAAAATTTGTCATGCGCTTTACCGTTAACATTGTGGTGATAATTGAATGTACTATTACTAAACAGAAACTGATGTTCATGATGAAAATGAAATCGACGTACCTCAAGAAAGCCCTGATAATGTTTTCAACAGAAAAGAGACACTAACTTCGCTGAAAGGTCACGAGCATAATCAAGGGAGTAATAATAGAAATGCTGGAAAAACGTTAACAGAGGAAATATCAAAGACTGGAGGGGTAAGTTTTGCAGTCTTAAGTAATGAATATTTCTAACTGAGCGCTTAGCTCTATATTTATTTGCTTATTTTCAAGAGAAAAATATTATTCCGAAATATAAACAATTTATTTTTTTGATACAACTTTTCTAACAAAGTACATTTTTCTCAAGTAATTATCTACTTTCTTAATATAATTTTCTTTAGCTGCAATCAAGATCTGTTGAGTGAAATCTTACTCTTGTAGCAATTCAAGGGATCCTTCATGTTTGCCATAATTTTTTATGCGAATTCAGCTTTGATGTCACAAATGGATTGTCCCCCTCTCTAACAGTACTGATGTTGTCAGTGTTGTTGTTAAGACAATTTCTTGATATTATTAAACAAAAACACCGGGGGTTGTCTCATCTGAGCAATTTTGCCAGTGACTGTAGAGTTCCATTTAGCTAGAGGCGTTTCCTATGGATAGATTTCCGTTTGAGGAATGTTTTCAACACTTGAGAAAGATGGATGCTTTGGGAAGGTTCTCCTCAGTAAGGAATAGTTTATCAACCTTATCCGCGCACAATTTCGACTTTCGATACCCTGAAATTTCTCGTATGTTCCGAATTCTGGACCCACCATGATTGCTCAAAACCCGCCCCATGCCCTTGGAAGTAGTTCTGTTCGGCATGTGTCAAAAAGGCGGGCTTTTTTCTGAGTGATAGAAAAGCAGTAGCAATGATCTGTTTTTTTGTTTTGTTTGGTTTTGTTTGTTTGTTTGGGTTTTTTTCTAAGCACTTGTCTGTCTTATTTATATCCCTAAACAGGCAACGTTTTCCTTATTGCTTTCTTACATCAAGTCTTCTGGCATACACCGGTTCGTCCTCTCTCTGTTCTTTTTCGTGGTAATGGAAGCGTGTTCTGTGGCTACAGGAGTATGGTTAGCCCACTGGAGCACAGCAAACGTGACCACAAACCATCAAAGGGACTTTTATCTATTAATCTATGGAAGCATCGGATCGGGTCAGACCCTCTTTACCCTTTTGTACTCCTTGGCATTGTTTATAGGGGCGATTAGAGCTTCCCGAATACTCCATCGTAAATTAATCGTGAACATCTTGCGGTTACCGATGATGTTCTTTGATACGACACCGATTGGTAGTATTATGAACCGGCTGTCGAAGGATATTTATTGCATTGATGTGACAATTCCATTATCTCTGAAGTCGTTCTTACAGATGTTTTTTGATGTCCTTGGGATGTTGGTAGCTGTTAGTTACGCCACACCACTCTTCCTGACTGTTGTTCCTCCTTTGGGAGCACTCTATTTTTACATATAGGTGAGAGAAAGACTTTTGTTTCCCTTTAAACTTAATGTAAAATACATTGTAGGATATTTCAATAAACGTACAGCACACAAACGTCAACGACAATAGAAAAGTAAGATCAGCTAGAGGAGGGACGGAGAAGTTTATCGTGGATGATGAGATGTTTACTGCAAGTCGAACATTTCGGAGTACATTTTCCTTATACGGGGAAGGATGGGATTCAATTCGTCTTTACATAGCAAATATTATCTTTTTTTCTCTTTTTTTCTCTTGTTTTGATGTTGCTGGACATTACAAAATTCTCCCCCCCCCCATTGACGTTTTCCTAACCACGCTCAAGAGAAAATGTCACATTGACCTATTTCACTCGCTACATTCATTAAGAATGTGCGAATCGATTGAAGTACTGAACACGTCTTGTTTACTTGTATGATGATTGAAGAGCTAAAAGTATAGCATATTTTCATTACTGTTCTCCGAGCTGGAACGCAGATTTTATCACTTTATGCATGTTACACGTCTTGATTCCCGCAGTTTAATTTAATTAATTCACTGAATATTCTACCAGAGAGTATACGTAGCTACATCGAGACAGCTGAGGAGAATCAGTGAGCTGATCACCGATATACAGTCACTTCCTAGAAACAATCACCGGTGTCAGCACCATACGGGCTTTCTCACAACAGCAGCGCTTCATCCGGGATAATTATAGGAAATTAGATGAAAACCAAGAAGCACATGATTTGGCTGTTACTGCTGACAGGTGAAGAGATGAATGCTGTACCATATGTATATTTCATCTCAAGTATCCAGTCCTCGGATGAGCATGAACTTTCTACTTATTTAATTACATGCTTTATCCATCACCAACGGTTTCATTAGCATGGTAAAATAATTAGTCTTCTCTGAGTAACCTTCGCAGACTAACAAACTGATTCTTCTGCCTTTCATAATCCTTTTCTTGGCTTTATGAGATTGCATTTGCTTAATTTTGCTGCATAAACTATGATGATCTGTCTTTTCTGAACTAATTTTGACTTTGATGCGGAAATATAACGATAGATTTTTTTGTTTTTTCATCTTTAATGTGATTTTGGGTATGAGTTGTGATGAACACTTTATACAGCTATTTGCGCCGATAGCTGTTGTAAGAGAACGAAATGTCTTCAATGTCATCATTTATTATACAGCTTGTTCTAGAAGGATCATCATTTTTTAAATATTTTATAGGATTAAGGATTAAAGCTTTAGGCTCTTCAGGCCAGATTCCAAAGAGAGTAAAGATTTTTCTATAACACCTTTTTTTTACAGATGGTTATCTCTTCGTTTGGAATTCATCGGCAATTGCCTGATCCTGTTTGCAGCGTTGTTTGCAGTAATCAGTCGAGAAAAGATCAGTGGAGGTCTTATAGGACTCTCTGTAACCTATGCGGTTCAGGTAAAAACAAACAACAAACGAAACGGCTCTACCTCCTTAAGACCCAATGTTTGAAATAAAAACTCGACCCTCGCTTTGTACAGGTAGGTATTTATAAATATCCAATTTTATCGACAAACATTTGTGTCTTCGTATGGACCTGCTTCAGTAAAATGCTTGACAGTTAAAATCAGTATAAATATAGTTATAGTTATAATCAATATAAATATAGTTTTATTTGATAACTTTCCGTTGCGATACAGAGAAGAACTTCCACTGGTTTTGAGAAAGATAACCCTTATAATCAAGCCAGCTGAAAAGGAAAATGAATAATAAACAATAGACTTTTCTATCTTAAATATTAGTCTTAGCTTGCGCAAAGAAATAATTAAGTTGTTTTCATTAAGAAGGTCACAAGTACACACAACAGAATTGTGTTTGTATTTTACTCGCGTAACTTTACTAACTCGTCGTACGCATTGATTTACACCTGTTCATGCGCTAACGCGTGAAGTATTTTGAATAAATGTATGAATCAGTCAGCGGTTTGGATACGGATCGACCAGCGGTTAAGTTTTGGTGCGAACCGACTCAAATTGGGTACAAATGGACTGCATTTGGCTGCAAAACGACTGGGTGTGAAACGACCGTGGGTACGAAACGACCGTGTACCTCTAGATTGAGATGGTTGTTGTTTCTCGTCCTTGCTCCAAGGGTTTTGCTCTGGGTCCTCCAGTTTTCCTCCCTCCTTAAAAACCTACATTTCCAATTTTCGATTCGACCTGGAAACAGTGACAAGAAGAGCTCCCTAGTGGAATGTCCACAGCTAAATCCCATTATTATCTTATAATCATTTTTGTTCTTAGTAGTAATGACTTTAATAAATCTTAGCAATACTTACCCTTAAATTTGTAGACTTAAAAAAGTTTCCCCTAACGGTCGAACTCAAAAGGTGACTTGGTGTTTGACTTTTATTTCCATGTTTGGATTGAATACAACAAGGACACTTTTGAAATGCAGTCAGCTGTGTAAAAAATCTTACTCACCTTGAACTGTCCAGGTGTTGTTCACTTAGTTGCTATTGTTGTCATTATCATTATTGTCATTCTCTCAGTTACGAATATAGCTTTCTTGAATGCTCGACAGATTGGCATTGTGGGTCGAACAGGAGCTGGGAAATCGTCCTTGGCCTTAGCCTTGTTTCGAATTCTTGAGTGATCAGATGGTAAAATTGTCATCGATGGTGTTGATATTGCCACCATTGGACTCAGAGATCTCCGTTCGCGGCTTACCATTATTCCACAGGTGAAACATGGAACGCAGACAAGCAAGGGGAGGTTTATATTGATAGTGCGATAACAAAATTTTTTCGATGCAGTTGAATGCTACTTTTTGGGAGGATAGCGCTCGTTAGTGACAATGGGGAGGGAGCGCGGGCATCTTTAGCTACAAATTCATTCGTCCTGGTTTAGAGCTGTTACATCCCCGCATTTTAGGGTTTTCAAGGAAATTTATGTGTTTTCTTACCTCAGCGCCGTAAACGATTGAGGACCGGGACGTCATCCGTTGAATACAAAAGAAAAATATTGAAACTTGGTCAGAAGGGAGGAAAGTGTTTCAATGTTTTTAATGAAATAAAAAAATACTTTTTTTACTTGTTTTACTTTTTGCTCTTATTTCATTCTTATTTACCTTTACCCATAGGAGCCTGTGTTATTTTCTGGAACTCTCCGTCTAAACTTGGATCCGTTCAATGAACATGTGGATGGAGAGCTTTGGAGAGTATTGGAAGTGAGTCATTTGAAAAGATTTGTGATGAGTTTGAGTGGAGGACTTCAGCATGTTATAGCTGAAGGAGGCGAAAATCTCAGGAAGGAAAGAGGGTGGACTGACAGTGAATACGTTGAACTGTTCCTTGATACAAGGTACAAGAATGTATGCTCAACTTAAAACTTAGTTCACGACTTTTAAATTGTAATGCGCTTTTCTCAAAATCCGTTTCAGTAATTGTATTTTTTCTTTGTAACCTAAGAGATGCAATTCATGGTCAGTGAGTATTGAGACTGCATGGTTTAGAGGGGTCAGGAAAAATATGGACTTATGTTGAGGCTCTCCATGAAATTTCAAGTCCCTGGTCAAGAAGCCCTTCAAATGAATAGGCTCCTGGGAACCTATTGAAGCATTTTTGGGATAAGGGGTAAAAAGTACAGATTCTACCAGCCAACAATGAAATGTCATTTCAGGCTTGGACAGTATCTTGACCAGTTTTAACTTCTACATATATCAAAGTTTTGATTCTCTCCTCTATGGTTCTCGCTTATCTAAAGTTTAAATTTTTTTAATGTTATGAGCATGTAATCGTTTGTATCGTTACTAAATTTTCTTTTTATCCATAAGCAACATTTGAAACTTCAAGTGTTTGCATGAAATGTTACCTTTATAATCCTAAAGCTTGTGTGATTTCATCAATCATGAGCTAGAGATTGCATAGCCTTTACGACTGAAAGGTTCAAGGACGTTTTCATGCGGCTTTGGGCGGATGGTTTTCCATGGCCAATGCCTTTCACATGACTCATTTGATCGCTATGGAACTTTTATACCTTATTGCAGTGTTTGTCAGCGACAGCCGGTTTGTTTAGCGCGTGCACTTCTCCGTAAAAGTAAGATTCTGGTTCTGGACGAAGCAACGGCCGCGGTGGACCTGGAAACTGATGAACTCATTCAACAAACGATTCGACGAGAGTTCGCTGACAGTACAGTGTTCACCATCGCCCACAGGTTAAACACCATCATGAACTATGACAGGTAAAACTCTATCCAATGGACTTCGTACAAACTTCAGTGATTAATGTTTTACTCAATCGTTGATCTTGGATAACTTAGGCGTGGCAAACTAATTTATATTGTTCTTTATTCGCGTGAGCTGTCAAACATCGATGGTAAACAGCAATTCCTAGCTTTATGACATTAATTTATGTTAAAGCAGTTAGAAAGACACCATTATGACACAAAAAATTACATGTTAAAGTGACGGACGTTTTTTCCTTTCCTGGGGTTATGGTTCTTGAAGACGGTTCAATTGCAGAATTTGACGCACCCAGCAAACTTCTTGAATAAAGAGGACACTTTTATAACATGACTCGTGACGCAAGACTTACAAAGTGACCTAATATATCTATTTGGCTTTAGATTCTACCAGTTTTTTAGACAATAGAGGTACAAAAAACGATTTAATCGGCGATCAGTTTGTTCAATTGAAGAACGAATGTGTGATTTCATCAATCATGAGTGGCGAATTTTACCTACTTTTGAAATAAAATGGATGAATGTATTTACCAACAACTAGTTAATGATAAAGAGGTTCAGCATTTAAATTTAGAGGAGTTTCAATCTATTATTGGACATTTTGAAACATATTTTGGCTCAGCATCGTCTAGTGCATGTGGAGACTCTTTCTACGATGTCACTCTCTTTATTATTTCATTTTATTCCTTCCTTATTTGATTTTTTTCTTAATCGCGTTCTATTCTTATACGTTTCATCTTATATCGGCATATCTACACTTTTCGCACATTTTCATGTTACAACATATTATATAAACGTTTCACGAAGTATGTTTCTGACCCGTACTGATTCCGAAGATCCGCAATAGCTTGGATTCTACCCTTAAAAAAACTGCAATGTGCATTGGAAGTTCTCTTTTGTTAGCTCTATTCTTTCGGGCACAGCGATATACTCAAATTTTTCTTTTAATACGATCGCTTGATTTCATATCCCGAGATTCTTTTATCTCTCCTTTCTCCTATGTCATCATTTGCAAGGAACTCCTTGAAATTTCATAGAAAAAAATAGAAATAGTAAGCACAGGGCCGTAGCCAGACTTCAGCACAAGACGGGGCAAGTTTCGAGCGCCGAAGACGCGAGCCGCTAAAGGGCTCTGGGGCTGAAATCTAGAGGCCCTTCTAGAGGCTATAAAAGCTCTTTTAAGCATTTCCCGTGGCATTTTTCTTCAAAAAAGTCAATCTTAGGCCAAATTCAAGAAGAAGCCATTGCCTCTTGCTAACTACGGCCCTGAAGCATTCCATTGATCTCGAGCCATGCATTCCCTAAGCTTATGTCAAGTAAGATACCTTTTCCCACTATACAGGATCGGAGTCAGACTTGTAGGCCTTGGTATGGTATCGTCTGCAATGATTATACAGTTTTGATTTGTCGGTCGCTTATAAGAATATGAATAATACATGATGTAATGGCCGCAGGCCTTGAGTGTGTTGTTGTGAAATCGAAGTTTCCTAGGGTAATTAGTTGATGCCTGATGGGTCACTTAAGTCGTAATGTTATTAGCTGACTCAAGAGATCTTTATTGAACTGAGGTACACCAGAACCAAACCTACCATGAGAAAGTGGTTTGTTAAGGGTATGTAGTGATTCAGGTGCATTTTCTTGTCGTCCAGTTCATCTTGTTTCAGAATGAGGCTTCCTACACCCAATAGCGAGTTTACATGTGGGTACATCCAAGTTTCATTCGACCCTACAGATTGTTGAAAGACTTTCTATATTTGTCGTTGATATGTTTCTTGTTTACTTTTGATATTTAGAATTAAATGAAAGTATTTATTCGTCACAAGTTTACCTTTCTCCAGAGACCTTCACAGAATTGAGTTATATCAAAAATCCTAACCGACTATAAGAAATTGGTTTGTTTAGGGTATGTAGTGATTACTATTACTGCTGTTAAATAACGATAAATGTCATCCTCCCCCATCGTGGATTCGGTGTACGTTAAAGCTGTTTTTCTAATTTGACGATCAGGTTTTCTTTATCAATTGAGTTTAATTTTATCGTTGGGACCACGAGTATGTGGTTGCTTTTTATTCTGCGTAAGACCTTCCACTAAATTTTCAATCATTCTTAATTCTTTTTGTGATCTTCTATGCAATTCATGATTGGATGAGAGTTTCCAAATTCTAGTTAATCTAGCCCAGTTATCGTCGTCTTTCATAGTTGTCTTCGATACTCTTGCTTTAGGTGGCCCTTCCTGCAAACAACCCTTATTTTCGTCTATCGTGTGCAATGCTTCATCAGCGAGCTCCTCTAACTGATGGCAAACGACCACGCCCCTTCTTCTTCAACAGCTCTGACTACTCTGTTTATCTTGTTGTTAGGTAACAACATTTGTGCGTTATTTTCTCGTTTACCTTAACTTTAAGTCAGCCACTAAGTTTTCCTTGCAATTTTTTATGTTGCTGCTCTTATCTCAGTCTCATCAGATCCTAACCATGCCTTTCGGAGAGTAGGAAAATTTAAGAAGCTTAAAGATATGCTGAAAGTGCATCAGGAAAAGGGGACTTGAAATCCACGGCAAAAAGTAGAAAAAGGATATTATTACCCAGACCATAACTAAACCATTACTTTGGAAAAGGTATAGGGCAGAATTTTTCTGTCTGCAGAACAGAAACAAAGACAAAATAGAAGAATTTGTACGAAGGGCAAACAGCTACATTCTGTACATTTTACCACGATACAAACACTATTCACGGCTAAAATGTCAGACTCAGAAATTACATTCTTGGACAAAAAAGTGTACGAAAGCGAGAGTTTTAATAGGGGATCGACCCCTAATGTCCAAACGCAGGGTCGACCAGGGTCGTAACGAGGTATATTTTTTCGTCGCTGATCCCGTATTTTTACGCAAATTTTTAATCCCTGATCCCAAAAGTGATGAAAATTTTGATCCCTGATCCCACAAAATTTTGTTGATCCCAGTGTGTTTTCTATCCATAACTTTGTCTGGTAATCATTTTTTACCAATTCGCCAATGCGACATTAGACTAAAATAAAAATGAGCTACTTCACATTTCTTTCACTATATTATGATGGTCCAAAGTATTAGAGTCCTACCTGAATTATCTCGGTTCCCACTTCTTTTGTTCGTTTTTATCATTGTAGAATATTACCTTTGGCAATCATCGTTGAAGGGTCCGTCACTTCGTTGACACGTGTTAACAATCTTGATTTTTCTCAAATTTAACTATCAGGTGAATTTCATTTAATTCAAAACACACTAACTAGTGCAATACTATACAAATTCTAAACGTTTTATACGGGAAACACGAGGAAACAAATTTTTCCTAAAAATCTGATAACTTTCGAATCTATCCGCTTGAAAAAGCAGACTGCTTGAAATTGACGTTGATATTAGCCTCATAAACTTTAATAAACTTTCTGTAACCAAAATTAAAATAAAACGTATTTATCGCAGCGACCTTCCTCGACATTCGTTTGAAAAAGAAAAACCGTTTGGTGATGCTATAAACTTTAAAATTTCATGAGCATGCGACCTAGTCAGTTTATGATACAAGTTTTTGTTATCTTCTATTTGCAGTATCTGTGCTATTTGTTAATCCGTTTTCTAGACATCTGAAAAAAATCTATTGAAAAATATATATCGAGAAAATGTACAACGTGTGTGAAAATTTGACTCCGGAGAGGCCCTGGAATTGTTCTGAGCTTGTTAAAGCACAAATCGTGTCACCCTCCTGCCAGATCTACTGCGTCCAGCTTCGAAACGAGTCGGTTGGTCATCATCGTCTTCACTTTTGTCGCCATCACTGTCGTCCTCACTACTGCTATCATAATCAGCCTCGTCAGAGCCGTTAGCCAAGTTTTTTAGGCGTTGCTCCTCGTTTCGGCATAGAATGAATTTCTCACCATCCTGAACCACCGTTACAATATCTAAAACTAAGCTAAAAACGCCTCATCCCGTATCCCGCCAAACCTATGTTAGACCCTCTAGATGGGGATCTGAATTTTGGCCGCGGGGTGTCCGCAAGGCAAGAGTTACTGTAATAACATTTACCAACCTAAACCTAAAACTGATGACATTAATTTTATAAAAAAAATCCTTCAAATTAATCCATCTATTATTTTCCTTGATCAAAAGAAAACTTTTCTTTCATCTAAATTGCCTTTAGAATAAATACTACTCGGGTCCACGCTAAATCCCACAACACGACGAAATCTCATAGTCCACTTGTGCTATCATTTTTCAATGTGTTATCAGTTGTTACATCATGGTTTTTGTGTCTGGTCTTTTCGCCGTTTTAGAAGCAATTCTATGAATACTCTAGTCCTTATAATTGGTAACAACACACAAACACTCATTATTCTAAGTTACCTGCTTGTTGAACGTCGCCTTGAGCTTCGCTCATGCCGTTGATCGCCTTTTCTGCTGAGCGACCAGGAACGTGACCTAGAATGTCGAGTTTATGAAATTAAATTTTGCCAAAAGATTGCAGATTTGAACCAGAAAGAAAACCGTAAATCAACGTTTACTCCAATTTACCTTCAACGTGTGTGATTATCTTTTCTCTTCTTTCGCTTCCCCATGGAAAAAAACTTTCTGAAATGTTGACTTTTTTAAAAAACGATCCAGTAATCTCCAAGTATACTCAGTGCCTGTGCTCAGTCGAAAGCAATCCAACGTGCTCAAATGACCTATTCCTGGCATATTGTATGACATGATTGAACGTCATGCAGCGCGAGTAAGACAATAAAATCCTGGCAAGTTATTAACAGATTAACGACCCAATGCCTAACCAGTCAAGTTTGAGTCAACTAGTACTCTTTGATTCTAGTCTCCGGTGAACTATCAATCAATAAGTCCAAAAACCAAGGAATACTGTATAAAATGGGTCATAAAATTTCAAAAAGCTTTAAAAATCCATGTTTAGGCGCGCATCGTAAATTATTGTTGTTATCTAGACGCCTGATCCTTGAGCCCATGGAAAACACGCTGATCCCGGATCCGAGGCTGTGATCCCTGATCCCACCCTTTTTTAGGCCTTTGATCCCTGATCCCATATACCTCGTTACGACCCTGAAGAGACGGAGACCTTCGAATACTCGAATAATGTTACACACGCGGTAGGCTTTCTTTTTCTGAAATACAGAAAATGCTGAGAATAGCCACTAATCCCGCAATGTATCCAAATCCCAAATATATCAAACTTTGCCTCTTGCTATGGTTTGATTCGTCTTAAAACGTCAGCTTTGAAACGCTTAACGGTGGCCAATCTACGTTATCAACTCAGTTGTTAATACTAAATTACCAAAATTTGAGAGGCCTGATTGCTCAAATGTCACCCAACGGGGTGCCCCTACAGCATTAGGATCACGACTTATTAAGCATGTCTTCATGCAAGGATCATAGGTCTCAAAGTTGGTAAGAATGT